ATTGGCGTTTTGGGGAGAGGGAGAGGGAGATTTGTTAAAATGGGTGAAAATTGAAATGGTGAGTTGGGTGGATAATGGGTGCTGGCTTTGGCTTTTTGGCTTTTTGGGGTTTGTTTGTTGACAGTCAACGAAACGACAGAGCTGAATTCAAAGCTCTCATTTTTATATATTTGTTATTTGCTAATTAATTGATTAATGTCCATTCCTTTTTTTCTTTTTCTTTTTTATTTACTTTTTCTCTTGTTTCCACAGTCTCTTCCTTTTTGACCATTCAAACCTCCTCCTGTCCCCACTTTTCCACTTTCAAAAATCCCTCTCTCTCTCCTCTGCCCCCCATTCTCTCTCTTGCCTTCTCTTTAATTCTTTCTCTAAAGTTAAATTACCATTTTACCCTTTAACGTTGTGGTTTCAATTTGGTACCTATTATTGAAAAATAGGTAGGAGTGTCGTTGGGGCAGGGACCGGGATGAACGTCATTCATTTCTTATCCCCTAAATTTTCCATGAAATTTTGCAGGGATCGTGACGAGGATTTATAAGAAATTGTTTCTAATCTTTTTAAATAAATCTCAAAAACTAAATATTATATGGTTGAGAGGACGAGTTTTCAAAGAAATTCTATACTTTAAATTTCACCATTCAAATTATCAATAAAAATAGGTCTTATAATATAAACATCAAAATAATATTGTTTCTTATATAAGTAATATCTCATAAATTTCACCTACAAATATTTCAATTTAGTATTTTTCAAATATAAATGCTTAATAAATAAAAATAAAATGAATAACTATAGAAAATAATCATTGTATAGGTTACATCGGAAAAATTCACTCTCATTCATGTCCACATCGAATAAAGTAACACCTCATTTATACGTTTAGGAGTAGATTTTATAGTCCAAAAATAGTGCAAAATTCAATTTCCAATGTTTTCACTCACCTTAATTACAGAATCTAAATAATTTTTTTATGATAAATCTTCGAAAACATAAATTTACTAAATTTATTTGATTATTTAATGGATCTCAAAATAAAATTCAAAATTGGAATATGATATCAAATATGCATCAATTTTTAATTTAATTCATATGTTGATAGTTTATCTAACATAGTACATTTTTTAAAAAACGTTATGGCGTTACCATTGAAGTTACAATTGAAGTGTAAAGTTTTTCATATCACTCTCAGTCAATCCTACAACAAAATTAAAGAATAATATAAGTAGATATATTATAAGATTTCCAAAAATAATTTTCAAAAAGAAAAATAGAAAATAAGATTTTCAAAAACTTTTCGACCCTCAACATCTCTGTGCCATGGCAAGGAAAAACATGTCACCGTGTCCAATCACATAACGAAACTATAGGAACTAGATTTTTTATTCATTTTTTTTTTAGAATAAGGACTATATTATAGCTATTAAAATTATAGGCACCGAATTAAAACTATAAATTAAAAAAAATTAAAACTAGAAGGGTAAAATAGTAATTTCACCATATTTTTTTTCCGTTGAAGTTAATCACAAGAAAGTTGAAAATTCATATAGTTTGAATAAAATATTTCACATGAAAGCATCAGACGTTCAATTGTTTTGTGGGTGTAATTATTGAAACCTCCAAACTTTTTGAAAAACTACCACTACACAAAATTGTAGTATTTAACTTTAAATAATAATAAATAACATACAAAACTTACTTTTTTTCATTTTGTAATTGCACCTTTTTTTTTTAATATTGCTTTAGAATCCAAAGGTTTTTTCAGTAATATCACCAGTGTTATTAGATAATATTTTAGTAATTGTTTATATGTGGGAGGCATCAAAAAAAAAATATTACCGTATGAAGAATAGAGAGTGGACAGACCATTAGGTCGATCCCAAATGCTCATTCCCCACAATGACGACGTGCAACACTTTTGTCAAATACTAGAGAGGAAGATACTGGAAGTCAACATACTCAAACTGTATGCACCAGACAAGCCGACCATCGGCTCAACATGACCAATTGTCGGTCGAATTTCCTATCAGACACTTAAACCTATAAATAAGGGGTCTCGCTATGTATTTAAGTATCGCATTCTAGCTCGGTCTCAATATTAAGGTCGAACTCTAAAACCAACTTGAGCGTAAGAATATTTGTTCCCTTGTGCATGTCCTTTCTTGTCAAGCGCATTCCATCTCGCTTCAATCCCTCCAGCTCGTCCAGTCAACCTACCTTCTAGGTCGACCTTGATTGACACTTGTTTCACAAACATGATCTTTTAAAAAAAAAATTTCTAAAATTGTATAAAACTCTTTCCAACTAAATAAAAGCGTTATTTTATTATTGATGGTTTATAAAAATGCATAACAAATATGAAAAGAAAAACAGAGATAACATAACAAATTTTAATTTTCATGTAAAAAATTAGAAAGACAAGAAAGAGTTAATTGTCAAATATGTTTTTGTAGTTTTATTTTTATTTACTCAAAACAATATTAAACGAAAAACTAGAAATTAGAAATGAAAATGAAAATAAAAAACAATAAATAAGAAATTTATCCCTATTATTATAAAATTTCTATATTTAGCTAAACTAAAAATTTCAATATATACTTCCAGTAAAACATTTTAAACAACTATCAAACAATAAGTATCAAATAGAACTACGAAAATAAATAAAATTAATGAATTGTTTAATCAGTATTTGTTGGTGTGTAGGTTGGTTGGAAGTAATATTGTCTCTTCAAAGACAAGAGAATCCAAGCTCACAATTATTTGATAAGTTGCATTTACTCAACTAATTATATTCTCTTCACAAAGCTATGTTTTTTTTATATATATTATCAAAATAAATATTTAATTATTTAGTTCAACAAACATCTAGGGTGGGGATTCCAATATCCGACATTTGAGTAAATGATATATATTTTAACTAATTAAACTATGCTTAGATTGACAAATATTTATATATTATGTCGTTGCATATTAATATAAAGTAAATGTTTGAATATATTAGCCAGAGTGAGTATAGTTCACGGTAATTGACATATACCTTCAATCATGAGGTTACAAGTTCGAATCTCCTTCCCAACATATTGTACTAAAAAAAGTTTGAATATATTAGATCAGTGTTGTTTTATAACTTTCAAAATGTTTATTTTTTTTCATATATTTTAACCTTTTATTTATTTTAGTAACCGTACTATCAAAATATTTGTTTTGGTTCATATATTTTTAAAAGGCGATCATTTTGATTCCTTCATATTTTGTTTTATTTTTTTTTCTACCACAATTTTAACACGACAATACATTCAATTAACTTTTTGAAATGCAATCATAACTCTTACTAAAAAGTTTTTGTCCCACGTAGAACTAGTATTAAGATTTTACAAATAGGGATTAAAATAGTCGTTTTGGAGGGGTATATTAACCAAAAGAAAGGGTTTTAAAATATAAATATTAAAATAAACAAAAACTAAATGTACATGGAAAAAAAAATATTTTAAGATCAAAATAGTATTAAAAATAAAAATTAAAAGAAAAAAAAAGACTAAATAGGAAAGGAACTGTGTAAAATAAAAAAAAAAAGTGTTTTTATTCATAAAAAATATTTTAAAACAATAGTTTGTCGCCTTATTATCGACTACTATGATTCATGAACATGATTAACAATAATTGGTGGCAAAGGAATCTTTTGAACTCATTAAAATAAAATAAAATAATTAATTATTCAAACAATCATTCTAAATAATTTTTAAGATAGCTATAAATAATGGAACATAATTAAAAAAAAATAGTTTCCAAGTTTCTTTATATAATATTATATTTATAAATAAGGAGAGAGAATTAAAGATATGTTTAAATACTATTTTGGCCATGTGATATTGATTTTGGTTCATTTTTGTCGCGTGCTTTTGAAACTAAAACGTGCATTTTGATCACTATACTCTTAATTTTTTATTCTTAACAAGTTGTTATAGTTTTGATCTCAGTATATTGGTTACGGTTGTTAAGTGGGTTAAGTCATGTGGCACTATA